TGTCTCGGCCAGCGAGACATCTTTTAAATGATCAAAAGCCACCTTAATAACTGTCACACACGTGTCCATTAACTGCCAAGGAACGTGGAAAACATCGTGGGTGAAAATCACGTGAATAACTGCCAAAATAACGGAGTTTGAAACGTGGGAAGGCAGTTACAGCAAAAACTGCCGAGCAGTTGCCTTTTCCGAGACAGTATTTACTGTCTCGCGGGTCGAGACAGCAAACACTGTCTCGCCGTACTAATGTCGTCATTTGTTGCCAGTTTAATATTGTCTTTTATTGTGTTTTTTCAGTTACATACCTCAGAGGCTATAAATACCCCCCTAGGGTCACTACTGACGAGGATCGAGCATTTGATAGAGCAATTCAGAGCAGACTTGAGTTCTTGGTGTGATTCCTTGAGATTCGAGCTTTGACTTGATCTTAAGAAGAACGATTGTCTTACTTTGATAAGATCTTCGTTTCAAGTTCTCACTTCGATAAACGAAGGAAGAATCATTAAGCCCCCTTCATGATCTGTGATTTGGTGGTCCACGAGTCAAAGCGCTCACGGCACAGGCAAAGTCCCACAAAACAAGAATCGATAAACGATTTTTGTGTTATTTTCCAAGAGAGTTGTAATTTTCTCAATTTTTTATTGTAATTCTCTGTAAACAATCTAAGTTTTAATGGAATCATCAATGAAAACAACTTTCGACGAAAACAGTCTCGTACCTTTTGCTCAATGGGGGCTGGATTTACTAGGTCCTCTCCCCCTGTCTTCGGGACAGATAAAGTTTCTCATTGTGGCGATTGACTACTCCACCAAATGGATTGAAACCGAACCACTGGCCAAAATTGGTGAGAGTAACGTCACAAGTTTTGTATAAAAGTCCATTGTCTACTATTTCGGCGTGCCTCGGTCCTTCGTGACTGACAACGACACCCAGTTCGACAGTAGGGACTTCTGGAGCTTTTGCGAGGAATACAACATTCACCTCAAGTTCTCCTCAGTCGCCCACCCAAAATTCAATGGACTTGTAGAGGCTGCCAATAAATGCATCCTCCAAGCATTAAAGAAGAAGGTGGACGCCACAATAGGAAACTGGGTTGAGGAGTTGCCTAGTATCCTCTGGTCGTACCGCATGACCCATAAGAACTCAACCGAAGAGAATCCATTCAAGCTAGCTTATGGCGCCAAAGCAATCACTACAGTCGAAGTAAGCATGTCAATCATCCGACTACAACACTTCGACGAGAACCTGAATCCGGACCCAGGTCACCAATCAACAATGAATCGTCCGCTAGTACAATAACAAGATCTGACCAATGAGATTCAACGCTGGCGACCTTATCCTCCACAAAGCTGCTTTCGACAAAGACACCTAGAAAGGCAAGCTAGCTCCCAACTAGGAAGGCCCGTACACAGTCTTAGAAGAGCTGCGAGCATGCACCTATCGGTTAAGGGCCCCAGACGGGAAAGTCCTACACCATCCCTGTAATGTTGAGCACTTGAGGAGATATTTTCAATAATTCTGTAAACTTCATTCAGTATTAATGGAATTATTATTGAAACTGACTTGACTCCTGTTTCGCACTCCTGTAGTGTCAAATCTATGCAGAAATTCTAAGCCATTGGTGCCTTCTCAGGGTAAACCTAAGACACACTCACCATATGGTCAACTCCCACAATTGCCACTTGACCATTATGGCAGGGCCGAAAAGACCCATGCATCTACCTAAGTCTTGGGCACCCAATCTCAGTGTTGTCATTTATCGAAAAGCCTCAGTTTCATCTTGGCCACCCAACCTCAGGGTTTTCATTTGCCAAAAAGCCCTAGCTTCGTCCTAGACACTCAACCTCGGTGTTGTCATTTGCCGAAAAGCCCCAGTTTCATCACGGGCACCCAACCTCAGGGTTGTCATTTTGTCAAAGGCGCAAGTATCTACGTAAATCCTGGGCACCGAACCTCAAGGTTGTCACTTTGCCGAAAAGACCTTGGCGTCCTTAATAAGCCCTAGGCGCTCTAACTTGCAGGTCTTCTTCGACAAAGACCCAGACATCCCGCTAACATAAGGCGTAAAATGAGCTAGTCGTCTCGACCCCTCAACACTCGGGTCGTCCCAACACGGTCGACTCACAACAATCACCACTTGTTCTCTTAATCAGAATAAAGCTATAAGTAAACAAAGCAAAAATAAGGAATGATTGAAGGCAAACTCTAGAATGAGAGCAAAGTCAATCTTTATTCCAATTCTCAAACTTTATTACAAGTTTCATTACAATATCCACGTGAATATTTACAAAAGGCATGTTGATATTTATAAAAAGAAAAAAGAAAAGATACAAGCCCTCAAATCTCTCGACCAGATCCGGGAGTTGAGCTTGAGAGGTCCTCTGCAGGAGCGGCAGAGCCAAGAGCAACAGAAGAGGAAACGGGAGGGTCTTCTCCAGGGTCCTCCCCCCGACTCGTCGTCGCCGTCGTCCAGGGTCCTCCCCCGACTCATTGTCGTTGTCGTCCAATGCCAACTCCAACCCTCCTCCACTCACCTCAATCTCCTTTAGGAGGTCGAGGTAGCAGGAGACTCAAGGTGGGTAAAGACGGTCGGGCGCAAGGCAAGAGTCAAGGGGGAAGCAGTGAAGCCAGGTAGTCGACTCCAACCTTGCAAGTCAAGGGGCCCTGGCGTCAGTCATCGACCACCTTGGCCCGATACTGTTCTGAATCCAGATGAGCGAGCCGATCATCTAGGTCCTTGACTATTGTCGTGGACGCCTGATGAGTTGACCGTTCGAGGTCTCTCCTCAGTTGCTTAATTGTTCTCACTGTAGCTTGTAATTTCCTTGGAGGAAAATTGAATGTCACGGTAGTTGAGTTTCGGTCAAGTCAAGCGTCTGCAGTTAAGTTTTGTTATGCATTTAATAAACTGCATTTGATATGGGACCAGTTTAAATCGGGACTCATCCTTTGTGGCTAGTGGTAATCGTTGAAGAAGGGCAAGGATATATATATATATATTATGAATTACAAATATATAATTATAACTCCATTATACCAGTTAGCGTACCCGTGGCCTAATGGATAAGGCGTCTGACTTCAATTAAATTATTTATTTAAAAAAACAATATTGCCTTAAAAAAATAAATAAAATATCTCGCGCCGTTGCCGGGGATCGAACCCGGGTCACCCGCGTGACAGGCGGGAATACTCACCACTATACTACAACGACTTTGTTGTCCTAAGAAAGGAGTTATATATACTCGAGCACTACATATCAGCTATCGGTTTTTGACTTGCCAACTATTTATTGAACTATAATAAACTTTTCTTCGTGATATCTGTGAAGTTGATATATTACTCAAAGGAGAAATTTTCAAAATAGCTTCATTCTCAAATTTAATCCCAAAAATCGACCCAATTCATGATTATCTAGTAAAACCCAGTTTATGGCCACCTCAACAGCGTGGTCGTTTAAAAAAAATCGAATAATTAGTAGGGGATGGCAACCCCGACTAGTTAGAAGCTCTTCCACTTCGAGCGGCATTAGCAAAGCTACACCCCGACCAAAGGGATCGGGGTTGCCAACCACGTTCATTGTGGGAGCTCCATGAAGAGCTTGGATTAGCAAAGCTCTTCATATTATTGGGATTAGCAAATGTACATATTATTGAAAATGTACATATTATTGGGAAAGACCGAATAACGTGAATCTTGAGTCGACTTCCAAGCAAGATCAAAATAAGTTTACAGAACAATACGATAAATACATGGGCATAATTTATTCAGAATTTCAGACAAAATTAAACTTGGAAGTGACCGTAGTCCGTAGAAAAAAGAGTTAGGAAACTTTTTCATACTTTGAACCAAACAAAGAAATAGCAAAAGAAAAGAAAAGAAAAGAAATATGCTACTATTTAAGTTCTATAAAATTTTCCTACAAATCCGCACAACCCATATTCGTTCTCTCGTCCTCGTGTTCTCGTGTCCTTTTGTCGGCTGGAGCGGCAGAAGATTCGATCGATCAGTACGAGAGGCTCACATTCAATCGAACAAGTTCTCCTCCCTAATTGAAGTGATGATTATCACCTACGGTGACTGTGTTTGGATCCTTTACAATCAATTGATGATGACTCTTAACTCATTTGTGTTCTCGGTCTCTGCTTCAAAGAAATTTTTCCATAGGTTCACGAGACTATGAACAATAATTCTGCTTTGCTTTTTCTTCATATAGAAGAAAGGAAAATGATAGGGGCACACCCCCAATCACATCTCCAACCACACCACCTAGAAGAAATAGATGTGAATTTGAATTGAATGCAATTTTTTTCTTTGATGATCACAAGGTACTTGCATACTTGAAGAGAAGAGTTGAATAAGGAGAAAATGTGACTCCATTTTGTTTTTAAGAATTTTTCCTTTTTTTAATCTTTATATTTGTTTCTAAGATTACCCCCCTATTTATTTCATTTGATTGTTCAGTTTAGCATTTAACAAGTCACCTGTTCCGCGCCAAAGTGTCAAGAAAAAACTTTGGTTATCAAAATTCAAAAGGTGTGAATTGTAGAGTGCCAAATTACAAATAACCCTTCAAAAGAGCATTACCCAAGGGTACTTTTGTAATTAAGGGACCAAATTGCAATATACCTAGGATCTGAGGGACTAATGAACAATTTCATAAATGTGAGGGACTAATATGGAATTATTGAAGATTTGCGGGACTAACATCTAAAAAAAAATCCGAAAAATTCACAGCAAACCTTTCCAATACAAGTCCTGAAGAGAGAGATCAATCACCGGTAGTACTAAAACATTTCGCTTCAATTTGATCCAATGCTGGCCAACTCACAAATTAACTGATCCCAATTCAATCCATCCCTCAACCAAAGTAAAGATCTCAATAAAAAGGTACTACCATCTAAAAATATACGAAATGTCACTCTCGTAAACTATATATATAACCAATAGAACAGAATCGTTGAAGTTCATCATCAAAGCCAGAATTAAAACCACATCAGGATTAGCTAGGGAGTCTCCATAATTTTTCTTTTATTAGAACCGGAGGAAAGTTCCAATTAGAATCCTGATCGTATTAGAAGTTGCATTAGTTCTCTCTCTCTCTCTCTCTCTCTCTATATATATATATATCGACCCATAGCTAGTCAGCAAGAGAGAGAGAGAGAGAAGTCCTCATGATGGCTCTCAACACCTCAGGTTCACCTCTTAATTCTTTTATCTTCATGATTCTAACTTTTAAACTTTTTCTTGGTCTTCTGATCGATAATCGATTTTCAAAACTCTGACAGGTATGAAGACGTCGAGCATCGGAAAGCCTTTGTCCGGCCTCTCACTCGAGCACGGCCGCCCGTTGGAGTACCCGTCGGGTTCGAGCCGCCCCGTGCTCCGCAACGGGAGGTTCTACTGCCTGGCCAGCGACGGAAGCCTCGCGACGTTCGACCCCTCCCGGGGCGAGTGGCGTGTCCTCGACAGGCCGAGCCCCGTGCACGATGGCGGCGACGTTATGCGCTGCTCCCTCGTTGAGCGTAACGGGAGACTCACGTCGGTTTTCGTGGAACGGGAGAGCCAGTACGTTAGCGTGTTCAGGCTCGACGAGGAGGAGAGCGAGTGGGAGGAGGTGACCTCGTTGGGCGGCGGCGGCGGCGGCCAGGCGCTGATCGTGGGCTATCCAGAGACTCTACTTCGCTCCTCAATCTAAATCTATTTGCACTCAAAAAGAAAAAAAATCACAATCATCAACTAGATAATTAATTAATGGTTGTGATTACGTAACGGTCCCCGTACTATTTTATTCGGTTTATTAGTTAAGCGACGACTACTCTTAATGTCCTATTTGTTTTGGTCAAGGAATGCAATTGAACTTTTTCCCTCTGTATAATTATTGAAATATTTGTGGGAAAGACAGTTGCCCTAGAAGTGCATTCGAATAAAGTTTGCAGGATCCCGGACATACATTTTATTTTTGAGAGAACTCTAGAATTTGGAAAGAAAAAAAAAATATTCTTCTCAATTTTGTATATGCATGTTAAACATAAATTTAAGTGTCAGAGGTGTATCTGCACATAGCTCTTTGTTATATTCTAAAACTAAGTCATCTTGAAGAAATTATAATCAAATCTGATGTAAATAGATGACCATTTTAGAGGATTAAAATTGCAAACAATTCCCTTGTGTGTTCTCCGGCCTATTTCTAGCTCGCAATCCAATAAGGCTTGATAGCACTTAAAGTACCATATAGTTCCCTCTACTTTGCACTTGTATACCCTCAATTGTTTTTAGCGGCACTTTATACCTTAAAGTTTTTAAAATTTACACTTTAATACCCTCAATTATGTGGGAATGAGAATTTCCCCAAATTTTTCATACGGCCATCACATGCCAATTTTAGAACACATTTTAGCTCTTAGTAATCGTTAAATTCACCATTAAACCTATCGAAATTCCATTTAACGTTAGAATTAGAGTAGGTTTAAAATGAATTAACGCTAGCTAGCTTCAACAGTAAATTTAGCAAAAATTAAGGCTTAAAAGCTTCTATAATTAGTATGTGGGTTCGAATAAGAAATTCCAGAGAGAATTTCTAGGAGGGTATTTAAGTGCAAATTGTAAAACGTTTTACGGCATATAAGTGCTACCTGGAGCAAAAGTAAAGCTACGCAAGTGCATAGCTGAAGAAACTGTTGGGAATTTAAGTGCAATTAAGCCTAGAAAAAGATCACGGCCCAACATACATTCACAAAGCCCATTAGAGCTACAAAGCCCAAATATGTAGCATGCACCCTAGAAAAATTGACCTTGGAGTTTAATTTACTCTGCTAAAACTAAAATTAAAAAAGGGTTTAGTGAAAATCAACCCCCAACTCAATTTTGACACGGGGTTTAAAGAGGCGGTTTGAGTCTGGAAACGAGGGGAAAAAAATAGAAAATCAAAATCCAGGATTAAAAATATGAACACAGGTGAGATAAACCCTAATCCTTATCAATGTCCTTTTTCTAAAGTTAAAAGTTCAAATTTCTTTAACTCCTATAACTTGATTATAATAACTTAAAAGCTTTGTAGTCCACGCAAGGATTTCTAATTTGACAAGTATCTGATGATCGTAGACATTTAAGATGCTACGTAAAGTAATTGAGAATCCTTAATTGATTAGAATTACCCGATTCTTAATTTAATAGGGATCGTGGTTGTATTGCTAGTTGGGTCTAAATAGTTTTCAAACCCCAATGGGGTTTCTCAAGTTCGAGCATACATTTATTCGAATTAAATTAAAATAAAATCATAAATTATGCATCTAATTAAAAATAATAATGGCACCAGCCCAACATGCATTTATTCGGCCCATGGGTTGATTGAAACCCAATAAACTGTGATATTTTTGGGTTTATAAAAAAAAAATGTTTACGGGACCTATCAGAAGCTACTCAAGGGATTTCCACATTATACAAATAACCCTTCAAAAGAGCAGTACCCAAGGGTACTTTTGTAATTAAGGGACCAAATTGCAATATACCTAGGCTATGAGGGACTCATGAGCAATTTCATAAGTGTGATGGACTAATATGGAATTATTGAAGATTTGAGGGACTAACATCTAAAAAACCCCCGAAAAATTCACAGCAAACCTTTCCAATACAAGTCCTGAAGAGAGAGATCAATCACCGGTACTAAAACATTTCGCTTCAATTTGATCCAATGCTGGCCAACTCACAAATTAACTGATCCCAATTCAATCCATCCCTCAACCAAAGTAAAGATCTCAATAAAAAGGTACTACCATCTAAAAATATACGAAACGTCACTCTCGTAAACTATATATATAACCAATAGAACAGAATCGTTGAAGTTCATCATCAAAGCCAGAATTAAAACCACATCACAAATAAATAACTATATGACAAACTTCTGTTTCAGTAGCAGCACGCCTTTATTTTGAATAACATTTGGTAAGTAGAAGCATTACGCAGATTCACAATACCAAGGTTTCACATAATAAAAGCCAAATACGTAAGTAGGTGGGGGGATCCATAAAGTAATTTGCCATTTTCCTAACATTAGTACAAAGATAGGTTGTAGTTATTTCTTCCCGCTCTTCTTGAGCCCAGACCCTCCGAAGGCTCCCTTCTGAGATGCCTTCGCCTTCAGCTCCTTCAAAGCCTGTTTCGAACAGAGCACCGACAGAATCACCGAGTGTTTTCCAACAAAGGATTGATAGAATCAATCTGTGTAATATACTTTTAAAGCTAATAAGCATGATATTAAACCCCGCTCAAAAGTTTAGTACAAGCACTCACCTTTTCCTCCTCTTTCTTCTTCTGAATATTTGCTAGGTCAGTCTAGAGAAAGCAGCAAGGTAATTAGTCAGCAACAGCAAAAAAATAAAATTGGATATGGTTAAAATGTTAGTAACAACTTCCAATGATCAGAACATAAAAGGATAGCCAGCAAATGCCAGAGAACTTGGGGTTACATCCAAATTAAAAAAAAAACAGTGTAACTGATAGAAATAAAGGATACATTCAAATAAAAAAATAGCGCAACTGGTAGAAATAAACCAAATGCAGGAGACGATTGCGTTTTCTGTGACTACACTTCTGCACATATATAATAGTGAGAGCAACCATCCACTATGAAAACATTCCAAAGCAAAATAGTTTCATAAAGATAAAACGTAGAAACAGGCAGAGCCTGCCCCCCCCCCCATCCCCCAGTAAGGATTAATTTATTTGCTTGCATGTTACATAGAATTGCTCGACAAGACTATACTTCTAATATCCAGAAGAGTCTAAATGAATTTATTCATGTAGGTCCTTGTGCGCTCTAATTAAATTACCACTCTACTACAATGCAACTCTACCAAATAATTTGTCAGAAATCACCCGTTGATCTAAAATTTTGAAAATTTACACTCTTGTTAACACAAAACAAATTCTAAATAGCATAAAAAGTTCACAGCACAAAACCACTTTCCTCTAGTATGTGGCAGTTTAACTTAGCTGCATATCTACCTGGACCCTGCACACAACTGAGTTTCAACATATCAAGCAGCCCCATTTATATCAAACAAGCCTAACTGAGTACTGAACCACCACAATACTTAAATTACTTGCCAATCTAGTCCTATATCCAGGCTGAGATTATGATGTATATCAAGCAATCTTATTGAAGGACAATAACATTCCCATACAGTCCAAGCATTACAATGTTGATAACTAGTATAACAGCTAGCATAACAATAAAATCAATAGATGAGAAAGAGTGAGGGTTTTAGGATGGCTATATTGTATTAATCAGCAATCAAGAAGTTCAATTCCCACACCCAAAAAAATGATAACATGAGAAGAATACAAGAGTAGCATGCAATAAAAGATAGAACCTCTAAGAGGTCCCGCCCGATGTTGCACTGTATAAGCCGTTTGAAGCCAGTCAAAATAGAGCTACGGTTCAAAAAAATGAAACGTGGTGCTTATGCTAGTTAAAAGTGGAAAGAGTCACAGTTCAAAGAGTGCCCGGACTGTCCAGAACTGAGGTAGATAAGATGAACATGACTTGGAAGTATTAAAACCTTTGTCCCAGCAAGTTTAACAAATAAACTGGCCCATAACAGAGAAATGGAGAAAACACGAAATCCTCCTATAGGCTGACATAAATCTCAACTTTGCTACATTTTTAGGACACAGACATATGATAAACCAATTTACATGCCTGATGCCATAATCTAATAACTCATAATGATCTTACGAGACAAATCTTGTTTTACTTTTTCCATGTCCAACAACTTATAATGATCATATGAACTAAAAATTTTACTAACTTTATCTATTTAAAGTGCGATAAAAACACATGGAAATCGCAATTTAACAAAGTCTCATTTCATCATCAACGCAAAAAAATTAACCAAGAGGTATTGGATGATGGCAACTGACATGACGCTGAAAAAGTACCAATTTATGATAACTGAACTTCAAATATGAGAAATATATTGTTTTTTAAATCGCATTTACATTTGTTATTACGTATTTCGAGTGAAACCAGCATCATAGTACCTTTTTGTACTTTAAAAAAAAATTCTCTTTTTAATAGATAATGTTTAAAAATAATAATCTTCACTGAAAGATCAAAATCTACAATAAACTAAAATTTCACACCAAGATCTAATTGCAGAGGATCAAGAGTAAGTCGATTCAAGCAATACCTCATCGTACTCTTTCTTATCGGCCTTGGGTTGCTTCAAAGGTTTCGCCTTTCCACCTGACAAAAACAAAAAAAAGCAGGCAACAAAATCAAAATTTGAGTTCTATAAGATCAATCTCCGACGATGAATTAGGGTTACAAAGTGGAATTAGATCAAGAGAACTACCTTGTTTGGACGACATGATGATAATTGGGTGAGAGAGGAAAGCGGAAGAACCCTAGAAATCGAAATTCGAGAAAGAAAAAATCGATTGAAGGTGATTGGCTCTTTATTGGGCCTTTTATAGATCTGATTGAAGAGGGAATCTATCGGCGTTGGGATTCGTACGTGGGCTTCAGGAGATAAGATGGACTGAAAGTTTTTTGGGCCGTGACTTGGCTGAGCCCAGGTAGATTGGCCCTCATCCATTAAGGGCTCGTTTGGTTGGGTAAATTTGAGATAGAAAGGAACTGTAGCTTTTGGCAACTCTACAGGTCATTTCATCCAACCAAACGGGCCCTAAATGTGTGGAGTAGATCTAGAACCATCCCAGGTTATTGGGCTTGATCATGATTACAACTTGGTTATGTGCGCACATTTTGAGGGACTACTATGAAATCTATTGGAAGATTTGAGGCACTAATATCTAAATAGCCAAATGCCACGTAAGAAGCATAACAAGCCGCATGAAATTTAGTTATCAGAATTTTTGCTCCGGTGAAAAAAGGCACTTTTGTCACTGCATCCTAGTTTGTATGCCTTTATCATATTTGTAAGAAGAAAATATAGCGAATTGGTAGCCAGAATCATCAAAATACACCAACCTAATAATTTAGTCATTCTTACATTAGGCCCCGCTTGGCAAATGGTTGAGGAAGATGAATTAAAGAGAAATATTAATATAATTAGCTCATTCGATGACCCGAAAGACTAAATTGTTAACCCCTTAAATAAGTTTTATGTTAGCCATTATGATATTTTTAGTATTTGGAAATAACAAAGATTTTGACTATTTTCTTTATAAATAGTAGGGTTAACTCTTAAATTTTTTAAGAAAAATTCCTCAAGGACCCAAAATATGGGACCAATAGGGGGACAAGTGAGATGTCCCCTTCCTATTGGATAATGAGTTGGCCATCATTAATTATGACCAACTCATTATCCAATAGGAGGGGGACACCTCACTTGTCCCCTCTATTGATCCCATATTTTGGGTCCCTATAGCAAAGCTCATTTTTTAAATAGGAGCATTAATAAAGCTCTTATTTTGATGGGGTTAACTCATTCTAATCCCTTTAAATAGGTTAGCTTAATCTTTCTGCATCTTTTACGTTTAGCAAATTATAAAGAGTTAACTCACTTTAATCATTGTATAAACTTTTTGTGTTTGGCGGGTTACAAAGGGATTAAGTCTCCTCAACCCCTCACTTAGCCCGTTGCCAAACGGACCTTAAGCTCTAGGCGTGTATTTCCAATCACACCCTCTTACACAAACTCAGACCCAGTAAACATGTATACCTCGCCTAGCCCCTTTATTTATGTTGGAACTTATTAACATGGGTAGAATGGTAACTACCCATCAATGGTAAAACCCTAACCCCGACCACAGTCGAGAGATTTGGACGGTTTATATAACAGAGTGATTTATTTCCAAATTTTTTGGGGGGGGGGGGGGGGGGGGG